CACACACACACACACATCAATAAATGATGGTCTGCACTTGGCCCGGGATGCATACATCAGATTGCACTGAAACAATATAAAACATCGTTTCTGGGCTGGATTAGGCTGCAACACACTCATCCCTCATTGTGCAGCTCTGGCTGTATGTGTGTGTAATCCATAATGCATATAGGTACAAACACACAGCTATTATATTTATTCTGAGAGAACCACAAACACACACACACAAGCACTGGAGCGGACAGAAGGGTTGCAGCGTGTGTGTTTTTTATTACTTTGCTAATATGAAACATGCAAAAACACAATGCTCTCCTGTCTGATCGAGTCACACCTGACACTGTTGTGTTTCTCACTTGGTTACATAACACCCAAGTTTTGAATTGTCTTTGTCCTCTTCCTGAGAGACAGCCAAACACTGACCCTGAACAGAGGAAGTTTGCATGAAGCGGGACACACACACACTTATCAATCTTCCAAAAATTAGAAAATAATGTTAGAGGGCACAAATAACAGCACTGTGTAAGCACAAACAAATTCATGCACACAACAGCTGGCAGCCTGATAGTTGACCTTTTGCTGCGCTTCACTGTCTTGCCTACAGTGACAGAAGACAAAACGTTTCACATTCTTAACCAAGCCCTTCACGTTCCTAAAACTTCTACTCTGAGATTATAAGACTGTGTGGTATGTAGTATTCTGCCACTGGCAAATATTTGCCCTTCTGTGTTATCTATTAACACGCTTACACTCCACATTAGCCGAAGTGATATTTCTCATAAATAAAACGTTCTTCTTGGTAGTCAAGTCAACAGTGTCTTCGACTACAGCTGCTGCTCTATCTGATTAGCTGCTTGCATGTCTGCGTGCGTGCGTGCAGGTGCGTGTGTTTTTTTTCGTCTCGCCAGGGCCAGATGGCAGAGAATGTTTAGTCAAATGGGATTAGAGATTAGGATTAAGTGGACTTCAAATTACCTAGACGCACAGTCACTGGATGACACACTACTACAGCAGAGCTCTGAGGAGCAGACGCCCTCCAAGTTCAGCTACACGGACTCTGTTAAGAATCATTAGAATACAAAGTGGGAAAAGTCAGGAAAAATAAAAATAAAAATAGTTTGACTGGCTCAAAATGTTAAAAATGTGTTTCTCATAAATAACCAGTGCAGTATTGAAGAATAGTTAGATATTTTGGGGATACACTTGTTGTCTTTCTTGCTTTCATATGTGTTCACTAAATATGAAGCTAATTAGTTTAGCATAAATACTGAAAACATGGGAAAACAGCTAGCCTGGCTCTGTCCAAAGGTTACAAAAACCTCTTACCAACACCTCTAAAGCTCATCTATTAACACAATATTTATGTTTTATGCTTATGTTAAATAAGCACAAAATCTGAAATGTAACTAGAAGAGCAAGGTGCAGGTCTCCATCAGACGTGTCCCGGTATAGATACCAGATCTGCTCAGGGTCCTGCATTTACAGATGATGTAACACAAATAGGATTGGCTGTATGCTGGAAAATATACAGGTGCCATTTGTTTTCGCTGCAGATTACCTAATTTTGAATGTGCAATTATTTGTGTAGAGCAACAGATCTACACTTTTCAACGTACAGCCAATCATAATGTGTTAATGAGGAACCCTGAGCAGATCTGGCAGGCCACTGGCTCCTTTACAGCCAACATGGTGGCGAAGATAACAAAAACAGGTTTTTATTAATTTGTATCCTGCCTAGTTTCAGTGGCTCATAACATATCGGGTATGAAATTAGTCTGCAGGTGCTCCGGTTCAAGATGAGACCGAACTTTTCTTTGTATGTGAGTTGGCGAAGGTCAAAATGTGGCCTTCAACAGGCTAGGCATGCCTTGTTTTTAATGTAGCTGCCTGGCATTAATGCCTTTTACTATGTCATATAAAGGACGTTGCAAAATGGCAAATACTGTGCCCCTACTGGCCAGTTAAGAGGAGTGAGGAATCAGCAGTCAATGACGGTATAAAATATGAGCATACAACAAAAAATCTGATAGAATGTGAATAAACAGGCTAGCTGCCCTACCTTTGCTTTCTGTCTTTATGCTGAGCTAATCTAATTTATTGCTCACTGTAGCTACATGTTGATTGTACACCCACATAAGTGGTATCAATCCTCTTATCTAAGTCTTGGCAAAAAAAGCAAATAAGCTAGTGCTTCATGTCTATTCCTAATTATGCTTCCAAGGACTCATTTAGTCAATAAAATATCAAACAAGAAACTACAGCCATGCTAGGTCTGAAGTAAATGCTAACATAACTAACACATTGATGTTTAGCAGGTGCTTTGCATGTTGCAATCTTAGTTTAGCTAGTTAGTTTAACACTAACTACAAATTACAGCTGAGGCTGATGGGAATGAGAGAAAAATGCACCCAAACGTCACAAGTCAAGGTCAAAGTCATTCAGAGAAAAACTGATTAAATATATTCATTTGAAGCCTTCACTGGCTGCAGTAAAGCCAGTACCAGAGGCCAAAACTCTAACAGGCCAGACAAAGACAACAAGCATCTATAGGCTGCAGCATGTTACATAAGTCAGCCTGCAATCCCCCCACAGAGGGCCTCCTGTATAGGACAGTGTGTGCTCTGTGAACATACACAGCTTACTGAGCTGCTACATAGCAGCAATGGACTGAGAGGGAGAGACAGAAATGGAACACTAAAATTGGGTGAATTATTGTGCGGCTCGCTGACTGATGCAGCTATACATATAAACACACACACACACACACACATAGATACAAAGGAGGGCTTTAAGCAATCACCAAATCAAATACTCAAGTAAGCTGAAAACTCCACTTTCAGAGCACTTATTGTGTCTGTGTGTGTGGGAGGCCACAGTTGCAGGTTTCCCAGTTCAAAGCTGGTTTGGTGTGTTGATTCTTTGTGCTCACTGTCTGCAGCTAATGAGTTCACTCTGTGCATGTATGCGCGTGTGTGTGTGTCCATAGATGATCCACTGCATCGCGGTGCGTAAATCACTAATTAGCCTTGTGACCGTAGATGCTGCCCTAGTTCTCCACTTCTAAGAGTGTGTGTATGCGTGGTTCAAGAGGCTGAAGCCTTATGTCATTCAATTGCGCAAGCATCCTTCTTTAAAAGTGGAATGATTCAGCAGTGCCTGGAGGTGCCAGACCAGACTCACTGTGGCACTCGAGATAAGAACACAACACACCTAAAGTTTCCAAAGACAGTGTATCAGATGACTGATTATATTTTTTTCATATTCACAGATCCCCTCGTTGTTTCTGTTTTTTTAATTACAGAGACAACAGGGATGGGGAAAAAAATCACCCGAAGGGAAAAGTAAATGTTTGTAAGTCTGATAAAAAAAAATGTACAGCAGAAGGAAAGAAAAACAATCCATCCAAACACAGAAAGGGTTATAAAAACCAGACACCAGTTGCAGAGTGACCTTTACTATCAGTGTGACTCTTCTACTGTATGGTAAGCCCCCAGTGAGCTAGAGGCCTGACCCAGTTTGGAAAGAGAGAATGTGGGACACTTGCACACCCATACACACACACATTTCCAGCTATTATATGGCTGGAAATATTTTTAGTCATGTGGATGAGGTCAAACACTGGGAGCCTGTGAACTGAACTTGCACTGAAAGAATACGTATTTGACTCGGACTGAAAGCTTAAAGAAAGAGATGATGGAGTGTTAGCCGAGAATGCGGAACAATTGTCCAATTCTTAGGAACAGGGGTGAGAAAAAAAAGTGGCAGGTAAGGAGAGGGAAAGGGAGCGCCAAAAGAGGCCTTTGGAGCGATGCCAGGTATTGTGTAAGTGGTTTTACAGCAGGCAGGCACACCTTGGTTGGAAAGGGGTACAACACGCCGCTGGATAAACAAAGAGCTGCAATCATTGCTGTGAAAACACACTCTCTCCTCACAGCCTGAGCCGGTGGTTTATACCACTGTCAGAGCAGAAATGAGCTCAGCTAAGCTCCACTGAAAGACAACAGCACAAATCAAGTGACTAGTCATTATCAAACAAAGAGCTGGGAAAAACGTATTTAATGACAGTAAAACAAGGTGGCAGCAGGCAAACAATGCACAATACTCTGTGCTGTGTAAGCATGCCAGCGAGATCAGTTAGATAAAGGTAAAACTAGCGCTAATGATGTCATGTGAAAACCTCTCAAATGCAATTTTTTTTTGCTTTTTCACTTCAGTGACACAAAACACATCATCCTCTATTAGTTGAGAAACTTTAAGATCCTTTGGTTTATTGAACATTTTCAAAACGAGCTGGATGAAGTTAAAAGTGCATTCTGGTTAAGCTAAAGAAGAGGCAAATAAAGTTAAATCCTGAAATGCTAACAGTATGAAAGACTTAATTTAAGGCATATTCTAAAATAACCTTTCTCATAGTTTAATTTCAGGCAGCGTAAAAAAAAGCCTTATAAATTATTGTTTTTTGGCTGCACGCTTCATGACAATGACTATAAAATTACTACAAAAATGAGCCTCTTCAAGGATACATACTCGGAGCACATTAACAACTGTGAATGAGAATAAAAAAATATTTTGCCTGTCCTTTGTTATCCACATTTGGCAAGGATCGTTGTTAATAAATCATCTATCTACAGGGCTGAGAAGGTCATTCCATTCAAAAGCGAGTACTCCAACAAACAACAAATAAGACGACTGAACAGCAGGATCAAGGAGAAAATATAGTTCAGTTTGACTCTATGGGAAGGAAGAAAGTAGCCCTATAAGGACTGTAAGGAGACATTCAGCTGTTAGTGCAGAACAGTGGTGGACATCTGAATGAAGATTTATGTAGTCCAGAGTCTGCGTGCCTCTTAAAATGTCACAGGTACTTTCTTGTGTGTTGTCCTGGTGTCTTGGGATGACTCCAGAGAGGTTTCACTGCAGCCCGGGGCAACGGCAGCACAAGAGTCCTTTGAGAGGTTCTCCTCTATCTCTGCCTCAGAGGCAGGAGGTGCAGTGGTTACCTGGGATTGGTCACAGGCTGGATCAGACTTCTGCTTCTTCCTCACGTGATAGTGATGCTTTTTGGACTTCAGGTGAGCTGCAGGTGAAGAAAATAGGGACACTGATGGATACAGTTGGTATGAGATAAGGCTGTTTCCTCTCAGTGAAACTAGAATTATCGCCCGTGGCTGTATGCCTCCACCAACCAGTCAGTGTAGTTTACATGCATGTCTTACCAGACTTATATAACATATGTATTGAAGACTTTGGATGAATTTAGTAATAGGTATTAAGTGTATTTTTTGGCTAAAATAGAAGATATCACATCATATAAGTGATCATATAAGAGAGATATCAGTCTGAACTGTGCTACTTATTGTTTACTCAGTGTGTCATCCCAGTCAACATGTATTTAAAATCTGGAATCTCTCAATTCATTCTTAAATTATGATAAAAATACCTATTTTTAGGTTACAATGACATTTGACCTTTGAGTGTCACAAATTCAGTGTCCATCCAACTGTGAAATAAGCTCACAATCTCCCCTTCTGTTCCTGAGTTATGGTGTTGAATAATGGTTAAAAAAAACATTTATCAAGGACATTATGAGTTAAGTTCACAAGAAGAAGTCATGCACAAGAAAAAATAAGTAGAAACTTGGTGTCAGAGCCAACACCAGAGGTGAGCAGGTTTGTCATCACACCTCAACGCAGTAAGGCGTTTGAAGTAGTTTGTATGGCCTCTAGTCAGATAATAACAAGTACAAATGGTTTGTCAGGGCATTAATATTAATACTAAAATAAGTGATTCAAGGTGTGTACTGTCACTGAGAGATTTTGTGTATACTAGAGACCGATTTTATAGTGTTTGCATTCTTATGGCTAAATATAAGCACAATCGAATGGGACGTGATTCTGCGTGTCGGTGTCATACTGCACAATGTGGGTGGACAGACTCACCTTTCCACTCCAGGTCCCCGATGATCACTTTGTCACACAGATCACATGAGTGGCGGCTCCGTTTGTTTCTCTGCTCCGTGCTCTGTACTCTGATTGGTGCAATAGCTGGCTCCTCACCCTGATTGATTGAGCAAAACAGGTTTTTAAGTGACAGGGTTTGGTGCTTAAAGTTTCCCTGTAGAGTTTTCTTGCAAACAAAGAGAATATCTTTTTACATTCAGTGTTATTCACCAAAAGATATTGTACTTGAGGCCTGACAAATGTGTTTAATGCATTCCTTTCCTCAAAACTTTCACAAAGCTGAAAATCAATTGTGCATTGTTTATATTGTTCATTGCTGCCTTTGTTGGCATGTTACTGCCACAAACGGTCCATCAGCAAATTAGTATTAAACCAGCAGCAGGATGTGAACACACATGCATGTGCGCCCTTGTGTGAACAATACAAACAACACAAACCCATTTGTAAAAGCACTGCTCTTACAAGAGGTCCAATACTCAACAGGGTTCCTTCAAGTGTTTATGAAATACTGAATCTAACTATTTAGTAATGGAGCAGGGCATAAAAGCAAGATGACGCGAAGCGAGAGTAAGGAAGGGCAGAAAGGAAGGAGGGTGGTGGATGAAGGAACAAAGTAAAAGAGAAAGAACAGAGAGAGATTGGATGGAAAAATGAAGAAAAGGAAGGAAGAGTTGGATAAGTTCATAAGGGGCTGAGATAGAAAAGGGAGAAAAAGGGAGAAAAATGAAAGAAAGGAAGGAATGCAAAGGAGTGGAGGAAGGAAAATTGAAAGTAAGTATCACATGGAGGTAAAAGAGGCAAGTAAAGTGATGGAAAAGGATGAAAGTAATGAAGAAAACGAAAAAAAAGGCTTGAAAGATAGAGGAACAAAACGGAGTAAAGAAGGAAGTAGACGTATGGTTGTGTCCCAACAGCAGGTGAAAGCTGCTGACAGGCCCCACCTTGCTCAGACTGTCCAGTATCTGCAGTGCAGGGTTCAGCACCATCTCCTCCCACCTTGACACGTCCGTTGCGTCCAGGCCATACACCGCCGGCACGTTGTCTCCCGGTCCTACGCGCACACACACACGTCAAACACAGCACGCATTATGCATTTTACAAGGCCAGCACAGGCTGCTAATAAATGTAATTAAGGTTGGTTTTTTTAATGCCAATATCAGTGTTTCCACTATTTATTTTTAATGGACCTGTGGAAAAGCCTCTGACAAACAACACTTCAACCAACAGCTACTACGATTACTAAGTTGTGTTAGTCACAATATTTCTTTAGTGTGTTTGAGATAAGGTTTTCTCATAGACAGTCAGTGTGCTGATACATTTTACACTCAAAACCATCATCCATGATATCAAAGAAGTTTGACGCTGACATTGATTCTTAATATGGTGAGATATATTGACTGGCTAATTATATAGCTGATTATTACCTCTAATAATAAACAAAAAGGTTCCAAAATGAGTGACTTTATTTTAGAGAGGCTGAGGTAGAAACTCGTACAGACGAGGAAATTTACAGTAGCTGTGATGTGCCGGAGCCACACCCTGAAGCTCTGTCAACCTGCTGACTCACACTGGCTCGATAATGTCTCTCCCTCTCTCCCTCCTTCCTCCCACCCTTCTCTCTTGTGCACCATCTCTCTCTCCCTGTCTTGCCATCAGTCTCGCTTCAGCTTTCACTCACTCTCTCATTCTCTCTCCCTCCCTCCCTCTAACTGTTCCACCCCCGTGTTTCTATTTTGCATCAGTCAGCAGTCTCCAGGCCAGGCCTCAGCACTAAACAGCAGCACCAGACCCTGTCTGTCTGTCTGTCTGTCTGTCTGTCTGTCTGTCTGTATTGATTGAGACAGACAGACGCACAGGGAATGAAGGTGTCTGTAAATTGTAGAGAAAGTGACTTCAAACAACTGCATCTGTATGCAAACAGTCAAATTTTAGGCACACAGAAATACATTTATACCTAGTAGAGTTACTATAAGACTTACACAATAACAGATTAAATATCTAACCAGAAAATACAGGATAAATAAAGAAAAGTAAAATGTAAAGGGCAAATACACAAAATAATTTGAATGAAAACAAGCAAGGTGTGCTTTAACATGACTTACGCTGCTTAAGATTAATACTGTTGAGTTATCCTGTACCTATAGCTGCCATGTGTGTAGGCTCTGAAGCAACGGCATATCATATCACGTATGATACACTTCTTTAGTGTTGTGGTGGTGATACAAACGAATGAAATACATTGCTGAGCTATAAATCAAAACCTGCGCCGTCGATATCTACGTCAAGCCTGTCGTCAACCCCTCGAGTCAAGCATGAATCTGCCATAAGAGTTTACAGCCAAGCTAGCGGCTCGTCGAGGCTGTACTCCAGCACAGTGGTGCTTTGAGATAAATGCTAATGTAAGCATGCTAACATGCTCTCAATGTTACCCTAGCAGGTATGATGTTAACCATTCTTTTTTATTGTTAGCATAGTAACATTTGCATGTTAACACTAAAAAACAAAAGCAGAGATTTTGTCCTAAACCACAGTATTGGAGAAATTAAAATGTTGACCTGATGATGGCGCTAGAGGAAAAATCAGGGCATCACAAGTCAAGTCAGTAGGATTCATCCTGTGGGGAACACCAATGTCTCTACAAAATATCAAGGGAATCCATCCAATAGTTGTTGAGATATTTCAGTCATGGCCACAGTAGTGAGTCTCTGCCAGCATGGCACAAAGCTGGATAAAGTCAGGTGAATCTTTTTCATAAAATATCAGCGTAGAAAGCACACACACTTATGTAAATGAATCCCATTAACCTGTAAGACACAGTTAGCCAACTCAATTATTTCTTAATCCTTTCCACACACAGACTGAACTGTGGCGTTGAGGGCAGCAGACACCCTATAGACTGAAGTTACTAAGTCTGCTGGGAACTGTCTGGGACTCCATTATTACAGAGGAGTACAGAGTGGTAACTGTGTAATGTGTCATCTGTACAACAAACTGCATTGACTCTGTCAGAGGAATGAGTGTGTGTGGGAAACAATGGGAGTCTTCACACAGCCCCGCCTGAAAGCTATAAACTTTGGCCTGGTCCTTGGCACACGCAACATTTCAACTCCTTCTGGTATACATTTGCATACTGTTGTTGGCTTAATGTGCCGTCAGCCACTTAAACGTTTGATGTATTTCACTCATTTCCTGTGGAGGCTGGCTTTGCCTTAATTGAATAGCTGACAAAGGGCGTGAAAGCAAAGTAAACACAGAGATCCTTAATGGCACCATCTCGGCACCATCTCAGCACCCCTGCACCTGCATCATTTGGCTTCTCAGTGTGTGTTTTCTCCGCTTTATCTGCGCACACTACTAATCCCAAAACTCTGCCCAGCATGTGTGTTTATACAGACGGACAGTAGTTCAGTTTGTCAGTGTGTGTGTGTGTGTTTTTTTTTTTTTTTTTAAAACAGCAGTGTTAATCAAAAGCCTCAGGTTTCACTGGGGTGGTTACTGTGTGTGTTTCTCCGTATGTTAGAGGGGGAAGTCTTGTGTTTGTGGCACAATAGCAGGCAGGTGGTGGCGGCGAGCGTCACCTGGCATACCTATACCAGATGCAGAGTTGGAGCCCCCTCCCTTAGGTGCTCTAATAAATACTCCACCTCGCCAGTCGCCCTCCTGTGCCCTGCTGTTGCCACTATCTCTCTCCTTACTTTGTTCTTTTATCTCTCTCAACATCACCCCCCCTTCCAACAATTCAACTACGAACCTCCCACTGGGCAGAGTGGAGTGGTGGTAAATAAAAGGGAGATGTGGAGTGTATGGTGGGTTGCCAGATGCTGGATGGAAACCCCCCTCCACCCAACGCCCCACCAGCATTCTTGTTTGGGATCTGGTGAAATTTAACTCTGCTAATCCACTCTGTAGTGAATGAGGGTTGATAAGAAATGCTGAAGGGACAAAGAGCAGGGTGGTCGACACGCACACGCAAACACACACACTCACACACACACACACACACACACACACACACACGCTGTGAGCGTTGCCTTTCAAGCACACAGGGGAGCCTTGCCAACAAGAAAGAGCATCTCCTGTCGCCGGGCAGCTGCTTGCCAGTGTTGAGTGTGTGTGTTGAAACAGTAGTCCACCTGTTGCAACAAACGGGCCAGGAGTCATTTGCTGCATTATCTCTGTGTTTGCTGAGTGAGGATGTGCGTCCGTGTGTGCTTTGCTATAAAAACTCCACTACGGTAGTCTCAGTGCAGCGGCCCCCCGGCCCAGCTGTGCTTCTTTGGCTGTTGTCCACACTGGAACACGACAGCTGCCTCTATTCACTCAACAGCCTCCTTCCTCTTTCCCATAGTTCCTCTTCCACTTTTTGTCTCCCTTACCTTCTTCTGTTGTTTATGACATATCTGCAGTAGGGCAAGTATAGGTCAAGGATATTTCTGTAGATTCGGCCAAACTGATAACAAAAACATGGATTCATTTTATCTGGATGTTTGGTGGGATACAAGAGAAAAAATTCTAATCCGCATATCCATTATCTGTACTTTCACTCCCCCCTCCATTGTGGGGTTTCTTCTCCTTCACTCTAGCTCTATTAAAGCTGCTATAATCAATATGTCTATGTTAGCAGTAGCCATGTTTCCATGAGCCTGATTTGATGAGCATTTGGTTGATAGAAATGGAAACGTCCTCAAAAAAGTTTTTTTGCCATTTAAAAAAAAGTTACATGTACTTAATGGGAGATGGAAACACTGTCCAAATACGTTCTGATGTAGTGAACATTTCAGTCACATGACTCCCTCATCACTCCCATGGTTCTATAATATTGCTCCAAACAGATCTGAGCTAACCTTCCTCACGTTAATACATGAAACTAGCAGAAATCAAATTTTGCCATCCTGTTTTCTGAATTGTTTTTCTCCATTTGCGGTTCGACTGGCACTCTTATAATTACACCATCTTCTTGGGGCCTCTTCTTGGGGTTTTTCCCGCTGAAGAAGTGGCGCCACCTACTGCTTATTTCAATGAACCCACTCATAACAATGGCATAACGGTAATGGATGGAAACAATTCATCAGCATTCATTCACATTTCCTTTTACCAATTTACTCGAAATTAGTGTAAAATTTGTGAATGGCAGTTCCTTTCATCTCTTATTCAGCATTTAAGCGTCTTTTAGCTCATTGTTTTGGTTTTGTGGTCCGCAACTTTACTGTCTGGGCTCATTCTCACCACTTCCATAGCACTGGTTTCGGACACAACGGGCCACTGCTTTTAGACAAGAAGTTCTGGATATGCTATATACCTAGCACCAAAAGTCCATCAGACACAGTAGCTAGCTGGTGAACATTACCAGAGACTTTAGCAGGAGTTCGTGGAGACCGAAAAAAGCTAAAGAGGTAAAAGACACTGAATACTGAACTTAATATCATCAGGTGGACGGAAACTTGACTCAAAATGAATGCTAATGTCCCTGCAGAACTGCTGGATGTGTAAATAAACAATACATCCATATTTATTTAAAAGGTAATTTGTCAATGTTACATTCAAACCTTTTTTCTGCTGCCCCCAAGTGGCCAAAAAAGTCAGTAATTGCAGGTGTAAGTTTCCATTAAAATGTTGTTTTAAGCAAACGTCATACCTTTGTATGAAAATATTCAAGAGAATGTGACGAGATTGCATAATTAATGCAGCAACAGTACGATACGTCATGCTGCTTTTCACCTGCGATGACAGATGTGTTTTTTAATGAATAACTTTGTCTCTTCCGATTCACATCTACCCTGGGGTATTTTTATGAGCCGCTATGGTGATAGAGAGGGGAAAGATATGAAACAAGGGACCCTTTCAAGACTCAAAGGTTGCAGTTCCATACCCCTATGACGGCTATTTTTATTTTTATTTACGGGTTTGGTTTTATTTTTATGGTTTCTCTTGGAATGGTGGACTTTCTTCTCTCGCTCTCTCAATTTGCCAACTTTTCCAGCTCAGCCAACAATAAGCTTTTTTGCAATATATATACATTTTCAATTTCTTGTATTTTCACTTAATGCACTGATGTATTTGTACCTACTAC